GTTGCCATTGCCACCCAAATACATGAGCTCGTCGAGCGCTATCTGCGTAGACTGGACAGCGAGCTGTTCAAGTTCAAGTGCGAGCTGGAGGCAGACAACAATGGCATCACCGAGATACTGGAGAAGCGCTCTCTGGAGCTGGATGGCAATAATTCGACAGCTGCAACGGCCCTGTTGATGAGCATCAATCAAAAGGAGAATCGTTACTATAACGCAAGCAGCGTTAGCAGCAATAGCAATTTAATGGGCAGCAACATCAACAGCGCCGCCGGCATTATCACCAGCACGGGCAGCACCAGTGGCAGCCTGCTGGTCAACAGCTCCGCACTTAGCAGTCTTTCCGGCAACAGCAGCGCAGTTGGTAGCCATCAGCGACATCGCAAGCTGGAGAAGCGGCGCGAAACAATTTGCACAGTGCCCGTGCAGGAGAAGCGCCCCAATCTAAATCAGTCGCTGCCAGTGGCACCCGTTAATAGCAGTGTTGGCGCCAGCCTTGTTAATCCTGTCGCGGGCAATCATGTGAATACGATCAACACACATGTCACACTGCCCGTGGTCGCCACGAATGCCGGTAATGCAGTCGCCGCCGCTAATATTGTGCGCCAGCTGCCTACGAATCTCACAGCGCACAGCGTGCTGAGCAACAGTAGCAACAATGCGGCTGTTGCGGCAGCAGCAGCTGCTGCCGCTGCAGCTGCTGCAAACAATACCATAAACGTTGGGCCCGTGGCAAGCACTGGCACTGGCGCTGGCATGACTGTCAGCCACGGCAACACCACGGTCAGCTATAATCTGCACCAGCTGGGCGGCGGTGCAGCTGCCTCAAGCGCCATTGCGGCGGCGGCAAGCCAAGCAATTGTGGCCACCCAACAAATGCCGCAGGGACGTCGTACGGCCAGCCTGAAGGCCAGCTATGAGGCCATACATGGCGCTGGCGTCGCTAGTAGTACAGAGTTCTGGACGGCGGCAGCGGCGCATAATAGCAGCATGCAGCAGCCAGCGACTGGAACGCTGGCCACCGCCGTGCATCATCATCATCATCATCCTCCGCAACAGCAGCAGCAGCAACATCAGCAGCAACACCATCAGCATCATCACGAGAAAAAGCACAAGAAGTAAGTAAATGTCTAACCTAATCCTTGGAGCGCAATACTAAATAGTGATGCTTTTTCAGAAAACTGAATGCCAGCATTTCGATGCCTGGCGGGCTAGCCTACAAATTCTGGGACGGTTCGTCGTCGGGCAATTCAATTGCATCGTCCTCTTCATCGATAAGCGTGGACTCAGTTGACATGCTAGCAAATGCCTCCGCCGCCGCACCCATACAGCACGCCAGTCTAAGCCAAGGCACGCTGGCCATAAATCCCACAACCAATCAACTGGCAACTGCCCATCCGGCAGCTGCAGTGCCAGCCCCAGTAGCTGCTGTTACTCTGCCGACTGTTAACAGCGTGACGGCGACGTCCATTGGGCTGCCCAGCACAACGCTCGCTCCGGGCGCTAATCTAACCATTAGCGAGAGCGGTCTGGTTGTCGAACAAACCAACGAAGGCGAATGGTCATATGATCCGAACGAGCCGCGCTACTGTACCTGTAATCAGGTCTCGTACGGCGACATGGTTGCCTGCGACAACGATGCCTGCCCCTACGAGTGGTTCCATTATCCGTGCGTGGGCATCACACAGCCGCCCAAGGGCAAGTGGTACTGCCCCAAGTGCACCGCTTCCATGCGGCGTCGCGGGAATCGCAAGAACTGAGCTGCACCTGCAACTGGATCTCTTTGAATGGGCCGCTTAACCTATTATATAGATCCATTCTTATAATTAGATGCCTGAAATGAATTAATAAATAGCTGATCAGCGGAGCGACAACAATCTGCATTGAGCCCACAATTTAGCTGATCGCGATCTGTAGCTGAATCGAATGTTAACAATAGCTGCAATGGCTTTCTGGCAATACCTAGTCCCTGTTATTGAGATGATAAAAAAATCTGTTTAATTCAGTTTAAAATTGCCACTGTTTCCGACTGTACACAATAGCCAAGTTTAGATAGAAAATAACTGAATTGGTAATACTGCTCACGATTGATATGGGCAAAGGAGTTTGAGCTCTGTTTTTTGCTGAGAATATGTGATTCATTGCGGTAATTCTTAAATTCAATAGCTAAAAAATGCTTGAAACTAACATAGCTGCATTTAAATTTTTTATATATTTGTTTGAAATCATGAAATTATGCATTTGAAGCCAAATGGATTGCGCATCAATTTTTGTGAAAACCTAGACAACCAATTTGTTAGTTCAAATTACTGCGTTTTGGCCGATTTATTGAACTAGTTATCGATAGCGATTTCATATTTCGCTGCATGAACCGATTGCAGGAAATCGAAATTGTCAGTAAATCGATAAGCGAAAGTCCCATCTCTAACATTAAGGTGACGGCAGCAGCATTGGCTTTGTCCGAAAACAAACTGCAATAAAAAATAAATAGTGTTGTGCACACGCAAATCAATACCGTAACTGTATCTTTACGGTGGTTGAAAATAACGCAGCGGTTGCAAAACTACTCATTACGTACTCCCAACGGTTACAAATAACGGCCTCAAAATTGGCAAAATACGGAAAAACAAGAAAATGAGCTACAATGAGAAAAGCGAGGCCATCACAAAAGAGGAATGGCTGCAACGGCTGGAGCAGTTCCCGTTCAAGCAGGCGGACATGAATCGTCTCATCATGAACTACTTGGTGACAGGTAAGCAAAACCCAAACGGCATCTTTGATTGCTTCGATATTTATGTGAAATCCTTTTATTACAGAGGGCTTTAAGGAGGCCGCCGAGAAGTTTCAGCACGAAGCGGAGCTGGAGCCCAGCGTTGAGCTGAGCAGCTTAGATGATCGCATATTGATACGGGAGGCGGTGCAGGCCGGGCGCATTGAGGAGGCAACGCACCTGGTGAACCAGCTGCATCCGGATTTGCTGGGCAGCGAGCTCTACTTGTTTTTTCACTTGCAGCAGCTACAGTTAATTGAGCTTATTAGGGCGGGCAAAGTAGAGGAGGCTTTGGTCTTTGCTCAGTCCAAGCTGTCCGAGTCGGGTGAAGAGATCCGTTTCGAGCTGGAGCGCACCCTGGCATTGCTTGCATTCGAAAAGCCGCAAGAGAGCCCCTTCTCCGATCTACTGGAGCAGTCGTACAGACAGAAGATCGCCAGTGAGCTGAACTCGGCCATATTGCGTTGCGAGCACAGCGAGGATTCGACGCCAAAAATGATGTTTTTGCTCAAGCTGATACTGTGGGCACAGTCCAAGCTCGACAGCCGCTCGATAAGCTATCCGAAGATGAAGGACCTGGAGACTGCCCAGGTGGAGCCAAAATAAGATATAGAAGCGGAAAGCGAATGGGGATAATCGCAATAACAATAACACATGTATAAGCGTGGGAGGGCGTGGCAGTTTTAGAGTGAATGGATATATGCAATCGAAGCAAATTAATACCATTTCTATATCTATTTCTATATATATATATATTTTATAAATGTATGCATTAGGATTTTATGTTGCAAAGATTAAAAATATCTGAAGCTGAATCTGGTTTCGAAAAACAATTAGACAAACGTATGATCTTTTTATTCTTTTTATTATTGATTAATCTATTGAACGATCACCAGCCGAAGATGAGATCCATTGCCTTGTTCATCAGTCCGGTGCTCTTTTGTGGCACATTGCGGTTGGGTGATACATGCGTCTCATGCTGGGCATTATTGTAGGACTGCTGTGTAAGCGGTCGTACCTTCGGTCTAAAAGGCACAGCAGCATCTGGTCCGGCCAATTTGGAGTTCTCCTTGTCTATAATGCTCTCGTCGGTGCAGCGAGTGACGCCCACCATAACATTGCTGGCAATTACCTTCAGGTTGTAGTTCAATGCCTTATCGCTCTCAATGCGCGAAGCGAACCGCACGTGCATCCAGTTGCCGTTCTGCGGCGCATGCACCACATCCACTATTGTGCCGCACATGGTAAAGTGCTGGAGTATCATGGAACTAGCTCCAGGTGAAAAGCCAAAGATTGTTACCCAAAAATCACCGCCGCGTGCTTGCGGTGTGTGCGGCATTATCATAGGTGACATGTTGGCCCCGAGTGGAGAACACAGCGCACGCATGGAAGCGTTTACGGCATTGGGCGCATTGGGTACATACGAATCATTCAGCTGCGTCGTTGGCGGATGGCAGCTCTGATTCAGGCTATAGTTCGAGCTGTTCAGATGCGACGTCTGCAACATGGCCAAATGTGAGCGCTGCGGCGTGCCGCACACCTGTTCGCCGCGCAGTGAATCAAATAGTCCTTGAGTGGGAGGACCAGCCTGATGACTGGTATTCGCTGTGCCAGAACTAGCGCTTCCGCTGGCGCCGGCAAATAGCGTGCGTGTGCCCATAGCTGAGCGATTTAGTTGCTGTGGATTGTTGTTGTAGGCCGTTTCCTGTGGCGTGTTGCTGCTTGGAGACGAAGCTGTAGGGAATACATTTATATATATACATATATATTATTGCCACTTTATTTGATAGCTAAAGTCTGTCACTAACCGAAGCTCACATTATAGCGTCCCAGCTTGGGTGACAGCGTGTTGTTATGGGGCGTCATGGCCTGAGAGTCACCCATGAGAAAAGGCGGCAAGTATTGGCTTTGATTGCTGCCAGGACTGCTGACGGGACTACCAAGTGTCATGGGCTCCATAATTTTAAATAATTCACTATCCGATTCACAACAAACAAATAAATAATTAACTAAATATAATAAGCAAGCAGTTAGAACAGATGCAATTTAAAAATGATGCAGGCATTTAATTCTTTTTGCAGTTTTGAGTACAAGTGTTGCAATGGCAGTTATCGACCATTTCGATATTTGGTGTTTGTATTGTGACAAAGTTAGGGTGACCATGCATGGCAGGCATTTTTAGCGCAAGCGCATAAAGTTTTAAGCAACGATCATATCGATAGTGGAGCATCGATTGTCAGTTTCATTTTAGACATCACATACAACAGAGCTGCAGGGCAGACGCGTGTGGCCTGTACGCCTTATATTTTTTTTGTTGCTATTCAGAAGAATATACATTTACCAATACGCGACGCGTCAAACAAGTGTGTGTGTGTGTATTTTGTTGCTGTGCTTATTCAAATATTAATGCGCGCAAGTGCATTTGATAATAGACAGCGTCCCTGCCCTTCAGACAGCTCCAAAATTATACTAAATATAACCACACACAAATTAAGTGCGCTGCTGTTTCGCCAAATTGAAAAAGGGTGCTAACGCTATGTGGAGTCCAACACATTGCAGTGTAACTGGTAAGTGCAGGTGTTACTCACTCCTCTCTCTATTTCTCCTGTCAGCTGGTCACACTTGTAAATGCCGTTGCATAAATAACATTTGAGAGGGGCAACTGCTAAGAGACGCTCCTAAAATATCGCATTAAACGTTAAACTGGTTTAGTGAGTGTGAGCGTGACTGTTTGTGTGTGTGTCAATGAATTCCTGCGGGTGTGTGGGTAAAAAATCATCATATTCAAGCGCAAAACCAATTGAACTGCTTTTTAATACTATTAATTGGTAAAATTACGCATTTTGCTTTTTTTGTCATCGGCTTACGGTGGGGATTTCAACAGAATAACAACAACAAACACTTTCATACATACATACATATGTGTGTTTTCAGTGCACAAATGTATATGTACATATGTGTTTATGACAGAGATTCTCTGTGCTTGTTGTTTTTTTTTTTTTCGTGGTGAAAACCATTGTAACCTATTCAACATCTTGTTTAAAATTTCACTTTTCTGTCTTCGACGCTGTGAACGCATGACCCTCGCTCTGCCCGCTGCTGCTGCTGCAGGTTTTCCCGGTTTTCTCTTTTTGTTTGCCCATACTTAATATCTACTCTATTCCAGTATCAGTAAATTACGTTGATAAGATTATGTATTTATTTGCCTTTTGCCATTTTCATTGCTCATGCGATAAGTTTTTTGCTACATCGCTTACTCATCGCGCGTGTCTAGAAAGTAACAGAAAATTTTAACTCGCAATTCTAACTAAACACATTTACGCTCCCCCTCTTCTTTCATCTCTTCATCAGTCTCTTGTTTTCGTTGATTGATTCGCTAATGGCGCATGGCGCGCATATTTGATTTATTTTGATTCCGCCTTTTCTTCTTTGTCGCATTCTTTCGCGTACATAGTATGTATGCATATGTGTGTGTGTATTTTAGTGGGCTTTTTTCTTGTCCATTGTATTAAGCATGTTTATGTTTTTTGTTTTGTTTTCATGGCTGAATGTCAATGAAAAATCAGCGCTAAATTTCATATTCGTGACAAAATGGCAAAACTGCGCCAATTACTCTCTCCCCCTCGCTCGTACGCGCTCTCTCTCTTAATTTACTCGGCTCGTGTTGTTTATAATTATGAATACCAATTGCAAATATTGCACATAGTACACTTTTAATGAACATGTGCAATTTTGCAAATGCGCATATGAACATACATATGTATGTTTGTATACGCGAATTTATGTAAATATATGTAGGCAGACGCACAGATGAATAGGTACATATGTATGTAAGTGACTCACAAAATGATAAAAAGCTAGCGCTTGCAAATAAAGCAGATAATGCACACATACATGCATATTTTCCCTAGCACACATTCAGACACATGCTGATAAGAACAATGTACTCACACACACACTTACAGATAAACAGTTTGATGCTTGATTGGCAATTTGCTTTTGCCATTTGTTTGTCCTTTTGCGTCTGCTTCTCTACCTTGAACTTGGATAATTTCCCCAGCTTGGCTGCTACTCTCCAGAGCTATCACATCGCACACACACCACCACATACATACGTACATATGAAAATGTATGCACAGTTAAAAATGTACATACATACATGCGCCTACTTATGAACAGTTGTATTTGAGTATTTGCACAGACCCAAAATCCGGCAATTCAAAAAAAAAAGTAAATTGCCGAAGCTCGTATGCTCTTAAAATTTTATGAGATATGAGAATTAAAAACCATACTCAATGAAAGTCGATGAATCATTTTTGGGCAATTCCAGCCACACGAATATCACGTCTTCAATACAAAGATGGACAATACACAATATCAAGTGTTGATGGTACTTAAGAAAGACATTTTTTAATGTAACAGGTGGGCGCTGTCGTAAGTTTGGTTCTGAGATATTAGCCAACAAATAGTGAAACGTTCACGCAGTGCTGCCAATTCAGCTATTTTCTAGCTAAATAGGGCTGCTTTCAGAGTTCGTCAACCGGAAACTGTTGAAATTTTGCACTGATTCAAATTTATTATTGCATCTCTATGACAAGTAAGAACAACCCTGTTCATTGCCAATTTTCTCTGGTCACATTCATACCGTTATATGTTGTTAAATGGAAATGTCTTTTGAATAAACTAGATATAGAAAATATATGCTCTCGTTTTAAGTTTAATATTTAATCTTATTAACTTCTCCCTAATCCTTTCCTTAACGATCTAGTACAAAATGATAAAAACTAGTAATTTTTTAAAATAACTCTTATTGGAAAAGAGATCTTAAGATATGTTTGTCTATATATGTATGTATATCTCCTTTCAGTTGAAAGCGTATTCTGATAAAAGTCGACAAAGGGCTGTGCGTCTCTGTCGTATAGTTAAATCCCCGGGCATTGGTGCCTTTTATAGCTTATGACAAAATTATGGTAGCCTCCAGCGATCAGTCACTGAAAAAAAGAGCCGTTGACGTCAATTAATAAACAAATCCGTTGGCAGCATTTTGTTTGGCTGCTCTCGTGCCTGTCTCTAGCCATTGTTTGCATTCTTTTGCTTGATAAGAGCCCCGCAGCTAGCTCAGCTCCCCGCTCCACGCTCCACGCTCCCAGACATTCACTCCACACTTCTCGCAGCCGTCTGACGGTAGAACATAAATAATACGAATATCTGTTTCTGTCTTATTTGCCAAAGTCTAGTATCAATATTTGCACTTGAGATGAGCCCCGTTCGTCTACGCCTCAAAGAGTCGCACAAACAGCTGTTTCTGGTACGAACTTCTGGGAAACGATTTCTACAATGAAACTCACAGAAGTTGTTCTTCTTTTAGCAATTAGTTTAAAACTGATTATATTATCAACACAGAAAAGAAAGTTTCAAGCATTCCACCTATTTTCCACCCCAGCGCGTGGAACTTTTCAGAAACTGCTGATTGCTATTTGACATATACTTAGTATATGCATATAATTTATTTAGTTAATTCAGTTTGTCCTCTACCTTAATGGACTCTCGGCTTAAGTATAGGGCCACTCCCACTGGCGGCCACTGGCACTCCCTGTAGCTGTTTTCCCTGCCCGCCCTTGGCTCTATCACTTCACATTCCCCACATAAATCCACGGTCTCTGTGTGCATGGTTTGTACTTTGTAATGCCCTCGTCGTCGTCGTCGTCTGTTTTTAGAAGTTGGCTGCTGTTTTCAGAACTTGGTGCTGCCTAATTGCGTGCGTTATTTTTAGCCATAAATTCTTGCTGCCCCATTCGCCAGCTCGTGCATGGAGTTACAACAACAACAACAATAAGCGAATTGCGCAATGTGCTGCCTTTTTAAACAGACCACAAAACCATCAAACTAACCAATCAGCCAGACAAACAAACATTCCACCGAGCAACCACCAAAGAGAAAAACACAAAGCAAAAAAAAAATAGAGAAAAAACACGCACATGACCAATTCGAATTCCAAAAACCAAGAAAGGGCCGCTATCTTGGCACGCCGAAGATAAATACCCTTGCGGACATTTGGCTTATGGTTTTGCAGATATGCGAGGCGAATTGTGAAGCTCGCAAATGAAATACAGGCATGCTTTTCGTACAAGAACTTCATTTTCGACCGACTAACCCAATGATAGCTATATGATTTAGTTGTCCGATAGGTCGGTAAAGCTGACTTTGTCGAAGTTCGGAGGTAGACTTATGAAGTGACTGGCGGCAGAAGAGGCTTATCATTCCTTTAAATATACCCTTTATCGAAAGTGGTTTGTCTGAAAGAAGTATATCAGCTGTACCCATTGGTACATGACTAATTTATGTGGGAATAAATTTATTTTGTAATTTTTGTTTTGTTTTATAAATTTGGAAAAACTTGATTAGATAGCTTATCTAACCAAATGTCTAAACAGATCAGATAATGCTAATTTATATGCTTTGATACGCATAGTTTTCATAGCACAAGAGAGAGAGAGAGAGAGCGCAGGAGAAAGAGAGAGCGACGATATATCTGCATCTATGTTTTTTAATGAGATAAGGGGAACTTGTATAAAAAGAAGATATTGTTATTGACAGGGCTGCAAACACAAGATTTGCTCAATGGTTCGGTTCACGACTTGAACCGACTCAATGCCCTTGCGTTTCTTTCTTTTTGCCCGTTCTACTGAAAATATTAAATGCTGTACATTAGAAAGTACAGAGATTGCGGGCTTAATTTGATTTCCACCCAGAATTGGTAGCTACCGAATATGGTTTTATGGATTTGGTTTGGTTCAGGTTTAAGATTCGGTTCCAGGCTGGAACTAGTCTGGTTCCAAACAGGCTTGATTCCTGACATTTGGGAAATATATAATATGTAATTTGTAAAAATCAAAACCGGCGCAAAAGAAACATATTAATTAGATAGTTGTAGACAGAATTCTTGTTGGCATCGTTGCTGCAATTGCTTCAGTGACTGCCATGGCCCGTTGGATGCACTTATGCGAAACAGTTACGTTTCATTGCCCCGACCCATTTAGCGACTATTCCCGGCGAATAACACAAGTGCAGCCGAACGAAACAGGTCTGAAATCAGATGTCGGCTCCACCTCCTGTCGCATCAATTGATTTCCAGTTTACCAACTGCTAAATGCATTCTTCTTCGTCTTCGTCTTTGGCTACCGATTTCCCGTGGATCTGCTCGCCGCATTCCCTCACTCTCCATATGACATAAACAAGTTGAACTGAACCGAAGATATATTTGACCTTTCGCATTAACATGCAATTGTCTGTACGTGTTCAACAATTGAGAACTGCATGCAATTAATTGCCTTTCTCTCTCTCTCACTCTCTCTCTCTCTCTCTCTTTCACATGGCTGAAGAGTTAAGACTGCCCAACTAAATGACACCCTGTACACTCTAGCAAATTGACCTGTGTTAGGTTTGCACAGACCGATTGATGCGGACTTCGAGTTTAGCCGGGGGTAGGTTATCCGATTGGCTGTCTGGGATCCTTGGTGGTACGCGAAACCAATTTGTGGACTCGACAAATAGAGCTGCCAGTTTT